ACCAGGAGGTTTAATTGGTCAACATATCTTAACAAACTACATGAATGAAAATGAAAAAGCAAAGCATGAATCATTTTATTAAATACAAGAAACTTACTCCTGTAAATTGCAGTGTTCTCCTAACCATCCCCACTTTTGCAATATTGGGAGGAAACTGTATTATATGAACTTACATGATATAATGAGCCCCAAAGCTAGCATTTACACTTAGTAGTGAGGCATGTATGTTCATAATAACAAGAAGATATCACAGAGCACATAGGACATACATTTGATAGGCTACAATAACAAGAAGATATCAACACTCCATTTGAAAGAGTGAAACTATTTGCCAAAAAATCATGCATGCTAGTAAGTGTTGCACATATTATTTTATTCAATCAAAAAGCATTGGAACCGCCACTTTATTACTATAAACAAGCGAGCAACAAATGAACTCATGTCAAGTATGAAAGAAAACTAATACATCTTTTTATCAAGATAAGGAATTACCAGCGCTTCCATGGATGCATACCTTCTTTCAGCTTCATCTTATACAGATCTTCCATTTGGAATATGGACACCATTCTTTTCCTTTGCTGCTCGATGATCTGCTTAGATTGTAATAGAATAATGACTCTAATGCAACATTCCTTAGTTATGGACTATTTCGGATTTGCCTGCAATATAGTTTATAATTTCAAGTAAGTCTACAGGTTGCGCTTGTTCAACAAGGTATCTAGCATACGCCTTATGTCCGCACCTCGTTCTAAGAGGTTATATATGTAGTATAGATGTATATATATATATATATATATATATATATATATATATATATCATTTGCACTGTAAACAACTTCATCTGAAGCTCTTACAAGGACACAACCTTTCCCATCTTCCATTAAGAAAATGGGATTTTTTTTGCCTCTTTTCCAAAGCTCTGTGGAGCAGTCTTTCGCTGCAAGAAGATCAACTATTTCCTCATTGTAGAGTTCCAAAAAAGTAACTTTCATGCTATAATCAACATTTTCAGCCTCTAGTTATAAAAAAAATTCAGCCTCATTGTAGAGTTCCATATGGTATGTTTACAGCCCTAACCATATGTAAACATTGTGCAATTGAAGCCCTCAAGAACTTCATTCACAATAGGAAAAACTGCTTGGTCATATCTCAATCTCTGATGTGATTTGGGTCCAAAAACCATCAAACATTTCAAGAATAAGATAAAATTTTCATAATGCAATAAATTCAAAGCTTTACATGAATCTTACTTTTTGGCTCATGTAACAACAGATCAAAGGATGTACCTTGTCAAAGGTGAAGACTTTGTTTACTTGCTTGTTAGCAACACTTTGCAATATTACCACTTCTCTTTTGTGTTCATTGCATGCTATCATCTTTAGCAATCACACTTTTGCTCGTCATTGCTTAAGAGCCGACCAATAAAAAAAATAATGCCGTTTATCAAACGCTTACCCGGGTAAGCGCTTACCAAGTCATTTTACTTTACTAGAAGAATATGGCAAGGACTAAAAATCTTACCCGGTAAGAGTGAAAGCAAGAATCGAGAGTCTTACCCGGTAAGTGAGGACGAGGACTCTTACCATGGTTAGCACTTACTGGGATAAATTATTGCATACGATGCGTTATAGTGAATAAAATCTTATCCGGTAAGTAAGCGATAGTGTTGAATTTTTTCGATAAGTGCTTACCGGGTAAGTGTTTAGGTAAACGACCCCTAATAAGACTTAAAAGTATTTTTCATCCACTTTGGTGCAAGTTTAACATATCCAAAGTTATGCATAGTTACGGAGTTGGCAAGACCTTAACTTCATTTTCCGTATATGACACATAGAAACCATACATGATTGATAGAATAAGCATAAAATTTGTCACCTAAAGTTGATTGAAAATGGAAGGCAAAGTGTATTCAGACGATGTGTGAGGCGATTGGCAGGCAACCAATTCTGACTGAGATTGCAAGCTGCAGGTCAGACACCGATCAATGAAGTTTATGTTACACACGCTCTCTTTCTCGTTGACAGTTTGTACACTATATTGTATGATGTATATAGGCTACTTAATCCATTAGGATAAAAGAACACATTATGACGACCCAGCCATAAGATTAGCTTTGCATACAAATTGGATCTCTCGTCAGTAGTTGGTAGTTCAATTGGTATGACGGCTGCTTTAAATATTGGCTTAGAGGTTTACTTCCCATGGTATATACATTTACGCTCATTATATAAATCAATATACCTTGTTTTCTTTATTTAGCACAAGGGTCAATTCAGGCAGAATGGGTAGAGGGTACAATATAGCAGCTCGTGTTCAGCTGCTATTAGGTAACCTATTACAGTTGGAACTAACACCTTGTTTTGTGTGGGAAGAGAGTATGAAGTTGGAAGGATAGTGTTTAAAACTTGGGTATTGATTCGGACCTTGACATTATTGTAGAGTAGTTGAAAATCATGTGCATTTTGCAGTCGCATCTCACAGTGCTATACTATCCAGATGATACTTTGATCATTAGTTTTGTAAGCTGTCGGAACAAGAGATATTCTCAGATGTATGACCACTCTCATATGTGCTAAAATTCTTTAAGGGATTATATTTAAGTATGTCATTTTGGTGAACTTAACTGGAAGATGGATCATATTTTCATAATTTGCAGGATATGATAACATATATTGCAATGAAATGGAGCAAAATTGCAAGAACTGGAGCTATAGAGGTCAAATTTATGGGTGTTGATGTGTGCACAATAATGTTCACTCTGGAAAAAGGCCAAGAGACTCTAGAGGTTCGTTCCAAATAGCCTTTCAAGTTCTTTTGTGATATTACTCCCGAGCAATCTTCTACAAAAAGATATGATAACAAATTTCAAAGTACAGTTTCAAACAACTTTGTCTTTCACAGTTTATTCAGATTTGCAAAACATATAATACGTGAAGTTCTGCCCCTTTCAATAGTGTGTCAATTGATTTCAAAGGTCTATGCAAGAATACCCAATATCAGAATGGTATACACACACATCAAGATGAGTATATATACATATATATATTTATATTTACCATTTCTGCTGTTGACATTTAACACAACACACACACACACACAACAAAGACAGATCAACAGATAACACTTGTTCTTGACAGATAACAATTTAACACACACACACACAACACTCTGCTATCCCAAACAAGAATTTACATTAAACTTGATTTTGCAACATGTCCCAAACAAGAATGCAGTCCCAAAAATCATCAAAAACAGAAACTGTTTGAAATCAAACATTATGAACATTCCCAACAGCTGATCATTTAAATTTGACTATCGATACTTGAAGAGGGGAATGGGTTCAAATGAAATCTCAAGTAAAGGGCTATTCGGTTGTTATTTTCTGCACAAGTAAGGGTTGTTTGGTAAATTGGGGGTTGAGTCCTCTTATACATAACACACTCACATATATTTGTATACACATATAGATATGTAACAGAACAGTCTGATGACATATATTTATATACACATATAGATTTGTAGAATTTTGGGTAAAAGGTGCACAAAATAATTGAAACATCAAAACCTTATATGTACAAATACATATGCACACACACATAAGCAATAGCCATTTTGCAGTCATATACTTGTGAAATTTATTTCAGGTTTTAGGAAGGATCTTCTTTGCTACACCAAATGGTATCATAGTTTTTATATTATAGTGGTGGTCTTAGACAACATATTCATGTTTTCATCATCATAGTTTTTATATTATTGTGCATCAAAAGCCATATATAAGATGCATTTAGTAAAGACTTATCTAATACATATGACAACAGATTCATGTTTTCCATGTGAACAGGTTATATGACATTCTCAAGCCACCATGTCAACATCATATTTAGTTAGACCAGATTGCAAATGAAAAGGTTATTCTGAAACAGACCTCTGGTTGAAACAATGAAACCAAAAATTATAGCAGCAACATGAACATGTAACACGGAATTGTTTTTGGGTTTGTTAATATCGACTTACAACAGAATTTCAGGGACTTAAATATGGACTTGCAACAAAATTTCTTAGTCATCCGAAAACAAAATACGTAACATGGAACCAATGGTTACACACTGTTTGATATCAAGAATCCCTTTTTTGCAAAATGCAGAAAAATGAAATGGAAACAATTAGCTTTACACACTGGATGCTCGTTTAGTAGGAACAAGAATGAATAAGAAGAAACCAGTAGGAACATGGTTAGAACACATACAAGAAGAACCAGAAGATTCTAGCACATGGGTAGAGAATGGAAACAGCAGGAAGAGAAAGAGAATCTAGAAAGCAAAATTAAAACCTCAATACCTCAGAGAAATTGTTAAGGTTTTGAAGAAGCTGTGGAGAAAGCAAAACCTCCAAAGTCTGGTTATATGTAGCGATGAAGTCTTCTTGGGAGCTGGCCATTTGTGCAAGTTTTGCAGCAATTGAAGAAATAGAATGTTGACCTTACTGATTTGGTTATGGTGCAGGATCATTCATGAAGAAGAGGTTGGAAAAGTAGAAGAACAGAGAAAGTTATTTTGACCTTACCCCAAAATGGTTTGGCGGGGAAGGGGTTCCTGGAAGTGGAAGAGAAGAGAAAAAGAGGTGCGACCATTTTCTTCTCTATCAATGCATAAAAAGCTTGTACCAAATGCTTTGTAACTTGTCTTTAAGAGTTTTTTGAATTTGTTGCATAAAACCATTGTAACTTATGTTTTAGGAGTTGTAATTAAGATATTGACCTAAGTGGTTATATATGAAGTATAGATATAGATATTAAATAATAAAAATTAAATATAATTAAATTAATTTAATATTTTATGACAGGACAATTTCCCATTATTCAACACCCCTATTAAACGGTTCTATTAGCACTCCCCATTTCTTATCCATTAATTTAACTTGTTTGACAAAACTATCGTCCTTTTGTTTTGTTTCTATTCAAATTTTGCAGCCTCTCTCTCTCTCTGTGCCGCTTCCTGTGATTTCTCTCTCTATAACAAACACACTTTTATTTAAAAGCTGTCAAACCCTTTTATAATCATGGCGACTACACATTGTTGACGCTTTTATATATATATAAACACCTACTGTTCCTTTTCTGTTTCTATTTCAATCTTCACTTTTATAATCATTTTGTTTCCCTTTATTTCTAGATTTTTTGTTTTTTCATTTGGGTTTTTTTTTCCTTCTGATTTTGAGTATTGTGAGATGGATGTTGGATGGTTGTCGGTAGCGGCGGTGTTGATGGTGGTACTAGTTGGTGGCGGAAATGGTTTTCCGGCGGAGGATCTGGTGGTGAGATTGCCTGGACAACCAATTGTCGATTTCAGGCAGTATGCTGGGTATATAGATGTGGATTTGAAGGCTGGGAGGAGTTTGTTTTATTACTTCGTTGAAGCTGATAACGATGCTGATCGTAAACCCCTCTCTCTGTGGCTTAACGGAGGTCTGTCTGTTTCTCTCTCTCACACACTCACACACACACACACACACATATATATATATACAAACACATACAATCAATCACATCAACTTCGATATTCGATTTTATGCACTCTTCTTACATATTCTATGTGTTTACAATGAATCTATGATGGCAATTCGACTTTTTAGCCACTCTACCGATTGTAATTCAATTTTGAAATGGATATCTCCATTGACATTGATGCAATTCGGCATTTTAACCACTCAATTTTAAGATCGTAGTTCAAGTTTTAGATTATAGAAACATATCGAACCATTGAAAAATAGTATTGTTAATTACTTTGGACAACAACCACTGTAGACTCAGATGTTAAAGTTCATCCCAAGAAAACTTGATGAGTGGATTTTCTGGAAATTGGGAAAATAGTATTTAATGTATGTTCCTAATTCATCTACAATCAACTAACACAATAAATACTGCAGTTGAAAGAAGAAAAAAAGAGAGAGTAAACAGTTTAACAAGCATTCCATATCATTAAGGTTGTATTTAGCAAATTAACTAATAAGCTAGCTCATAACCGATAAGCTAACCGGTAAACAAATTACGTTTGGTTTAACAAATGAAAAAAGTCAACTGTAATATGTCTGTATAGATTAAGAAAGTTTATGTTTGTAACGGGTTTTTCATAAATGGAAGAAATATGTTTTTTAAATTGAGAAGGACTTGTATCGAAAAACTTGACTTTTGGCATAAAGCTTCTCCTTAAAGACTTAAGAATAAACTGCTTTCTATATCATTAAGCCACTACCAAGCATTCATATATAACTAGTCATATATATTGTGAATTATATTAAACTTATTAAGCTATTAATATATGAATTTTTTCAAAATAGATTTTTTTTGATTATTTACATATAAACTTTCATTCTTATCTTCTAATAATATTTAACCTTCTTATTTAAATCTCCTAATTAGAGACTGTGTGAGAAGGAGAGTTAAGATGAGAAGTTTAATAAGAGATCTCCACCCTTGATCATGTTTAATCTTAAACTCATCTATTAATTACGCCTGATACATGAATTAATCCGGTGTATCTCAGTTAAAAGATAAAGATCGGTTCTTACAATTTCTAACTTTAATTATCTTTCTCACGGAACTCGAACTCAACCCCGAGTATTTTAATGATATTTTTGAGTATTTTAATGATATTTTAAAGATAAAGATGGAGATATTTGGAGATTCCTTTTTACAAGATTGTACTTTCAGAAGCAGCATGCTCTTCTGGCTTTTTCTTTCTTCTTCTTGTGTGTAAAGTTGATTTTTTGAATAAATTACAAGATTGGTCCATGTATTTTCTGGTTTTCATGTTTAAGGCCCTCTAAATAAAAAATATGTATTGATTTTTTTTTATTAACCTGGATATCCAACTCGCTATGTGAGCCGACTAATCCCAGGACGACTACCTGTTTTGTGGGTAGCACGGAGTCACCGCATTTGAACCTCCGTGGCCACGAGGGAGTTTTATTCTTCCTTGAATTTGAACTTGAGACCTACAGACACTTTGACCTTTGGAGCTCAAGCTTAAACCAATCAAACACCACCCTTGTGGTTAGATTTTATGGTATATTTATTTTGGTTTTGGTTTCTATCTTTATTTTATATCAATATTTTTACATAAACAAATGTAGTGAGGAAAATTGTTGCTTGACAATTTGAAGTTAAAGATACTGATCAAAGTCAAATTTGATATCTTGGGATAGACATAGTTTTTATCAATTTAAAAAAAATATTTGAACATATTTTGTGCTAATTAAGATATAACAACTTAGGGGATGTTTATTTACCTGTTAATAGTTCCATTAAAAGACAATCTTTAAATCGTTAAGAGGTAAATCTTGTTTGGTAAAAAGAAAGTATGCCTCTTAATCGTTTTAGAGCCTTCTGAATGATTTTGTATCTTGGATCTTCTTTAACCATTTTTGACGCCCTATTTTTATTTAAAATAGTTATTTTAACCATTTAATCATTCTGCGCCATATCATTACGAACAACCTTAGGTGGTTATTATTTTCATTGCACCATCTATAATAGTTTATAAGAGTATAGATAGGTTCACATGGACTTCCCATCAATTCTTGCCCCACTTTGACCTCATTTTCTTCATACACATTAATTACTCTTGTTTGTGATATTCTTTTTATTTTCATTTAATATTAATTTATTTTTATTAAATAATATTTAAGATCTTTGATACAATTCAAAATAATATATTTTTTTATTTATTTCTAATGGAATGAATTTGAATTGCAGGCCCAGGTTGCTCATCGATGGGTGGGGGAGCCTTCACAGAATTAGGTCCGTTTTTCCCAAAAGGAAATGGGCGGGGCCTACGCAGAAATTCGCAATCATGGAACAGAGGTATGTATGTGTTTATATAATTCTAGGGAAAGCTACATTTTGAGAAAATGACAAGTGTTTCAGAACTAAATAAGTTGATCTTAACTATTCATTTGGTTAATATTTGTGGTTTTGACTGTGAATTATTGCATAATTTTTTAAATGGGTATGTGGAAGATAGAGGGATAGTTTTGTAACTTTTACAATATGAATCACAATGATTCATATGTGAATCCGTTAATTAGTTCATATGTGAATCACATGAGTTCATATGTGAATTTGTTAATTAGTTAACATGTGAATCACACGGGTTCATATGTGAATCAGTTAAAATAGTTCATATGTGAATCACATAAGTTCACATATGAACAAGGTATGAAACTACCCCCTCTATTTTTCGAATAGCCGTAAATTTTGAGCATTGAAAGCCATAATTTTTGACTAGTCAAATCCAATGTTGATCGTATAAAGGACTAGGATCACTTCTTTACCTCTCAAATATTTACCAATTTTCAAAATTACTTATGACCATAACTCTAAAAAATAAATATATTAATTGCTAGAAGTTGCATATTCTTACATAAATCATGTTTAATAATTATAAATTAGATTATTTTTTACACTTATTATAAAAATTTCATTTAAATGGTTATAACTTAATTGATAAGCTGTTTTGTTGAAACCTATTTGGGTAATGTTTGAATAAGTTTCACGAGTTCTTTTTTATCATTTCTTTCAATTATATCTCTGATTAATATTAATTATTAATTACTATTAATTATTAATAAATATTATTTATACATTATTAATATCAATTAATACTAATTGTAAAT